GCTAATTGCCCCCAACAAGCTGGGTACTCATTTTAGTAACCTATGGAAAGATGCAAGGCTGAGTCAACCCTGGAGCCCTGCAGGATCGAACTCACAACCTTGTGACTGTGAGAGGCTGCAGTGCCAACATTTAACCACTGCACCACCAGGGAAATCTGAACTAAAATTAAAACAGTAATTCAGACAGACTATGGTATAAATTTGCTGATGTTTACGAAAACATTGTGGTGATCATGGGACAGCAAACATAACTTTCCAACAGCAAAGGAACTACAACTTCCTATTTTACAAATCAGGGGTCTTTCTGGAGTTCCTGCAAAAGCACCTGCCAGAGGGGACTGGAAAAGGGTCTTTCTGAAGTATTTAGGTAGGTTCATATAGGGAAAAGGCAGTCTTTCACGTATTAAACAAGTAAGCATAAATCAATTAAGTTTTATAGATCATAACTAGCGTTCGTAATTATGCAGCAAGTGTAGCAACAGTAACAAAGAAACTAGGGGCCTTTAAAGACTGCCAGAAATAATGCAGCTTGAGGCCACTTTAACTGTCCTAGCTCAGTACTAGGGAATCATGGGAATTGTATTTTTTTTCAAGACATTTAAGCATTCTCTGTCAGAGAGCTCTGGTGCCACAATAAACTACAGTTCCATGATTCCTTAGCACTGAGTCAGGACAGTTAAAGTGACCTCAAGCTGCATTATTTCTCGCAGTCTGTAAAGACCCTATGTCTTCCCTGTAACTGATTCCTGTCAACACCCTGACTTCATCTTCAGAACCAGCTAGAATCGTAACAGTTATCAAAGACAACCCCAGAGTGATACAAATAACATGTAACTAATCCACATGCTACTATCATAGGATCTGGTACTCAGAAATTGATGCAGTAAGCACACCAGCCTCAGCTGTACAAAAGCACTCCCTACCCCTGAAAATAATGTATACAGTCTAGGAAGGAATCCAAACTATGTGGTCTATGAAAACAGTTGGGAAAGTTCAGCTAGTTCAGAATTCTGTAGCAAGGCTGTGGGCAGGGTAGCATATGGCCATATGTAGAGGTGTAATTCTTCACTTTCAGTTTCGTCTTAAATGAAGCAATGAGTTTTCTAAGCCATTACCTTCCTGCTGGAAGAAAACCAAACTGTTTTTGAAGCCTATCTACATTTCAGATTTACTCTCTGCAAAATCTGCACTGGGTTGTTTTGCACAGAAAATAGCATTTTCTGGACAAAAATACTATTTCTGCATAGAAATATTATTTGTGTGCAGAAAATGCTGGGTTTTTAAATAAATATTTTAACTGTTTTTAAACCATGTTTTTTTAAAAATAATATTCTTAATTATTTTTTTAACCTTTGTAAACCCATGTTTTAGCTTAATCTTTTTTAAAAGTATTGTAGCTGCTATGAATCCTATCTCAGGAAAAGGCAGGATATAAATTCAATCAATAAATAAATACAAAACAACCATTTGAGAATTTTACACAAGATAAGTCTTGAACTGTGGAGATTCTCAACAGTCCAGGATTCTTCTAGTTAGAATTTCTTGACACTTGAAAAACATGTTTAACAACAAACAAAAAACAAAACAAAAAAACTTTGGAATACAGTTGGTCCTCCGCATCCCAGATTCTTTAACCATGGATTCAACTATCCACAGTTGGAATATATTTTTTAAAATGTAAATTCCAAAAACAAACCTTGATTTTGTGATTTTATACAAGGGACACCATTTTATAAATACATTTTATAAATATATATGCCATAGGTATTGAGCATACACTGATTTTGGTGTTCATGTGGAGTGAGGTCTTGGAACCAATCTCAATGGATACTGTATTTTTGAATATTCTTTCCATCCCAACTATAATGTTCCCTAAGGATTTTGAGTTCAGTGTCATCAGAATCTGGATGGCACCCTCTCCTTTCCATCACAGCCCAAGGAAACTATTCATATTCTGCATTAATGACTTGAAGATGAACAGACTGAGATAGATAGAAAGGCAAACCAGGGAACTGTGGTTCTGCCCGGTTGGGTTAATACTTACTTTGAAAAATTAGGTGCACAGTGTGGGATACTATCAGGCATTGCTTTCTTGGATTGTGGTGGAAATAAGAGAATTTCACCCAAGCAGATCTAGAAGCACTAACCTAGCATTCAAAACAGTTTTCTAGAAAACAGATAGCAGTGGGGAGGGGAGGCCATTCTAGATCACTTGGGTGACCCCGGGCAGGTCACATGGTCTCAGCCTCAGGGGATGGCAATGGCAAACCTCCTCTGAACAAATCTTTCCAAGAAAACCCCAAGATAGGGTCACCTTAGGTTTGCCATAGGTTGGAAATGACTTGAAGGTATACAACAAGTAGCATCAGAGCTCTCTCACAGAGCAGGCTTAATATCTCACAAAACTATAAATGCCATAGTTATAGCACTGAGCCATGGCAGTTAAAATGGTGTCAAAATACATTATTTCCACGGTACAGATGCAGCCTTAGTCATTTGGGACTCAGTGACTGTACACCTGGACATTTGGTTCTTATTCTATTGGGTCTAGTTGCCATTTCCCCCCCCCCCCCCATTCTTTAATTATGCTGAATTGTTCAAATTTATCTGAACTTCTTCTAAGACTGTTATAATATATCTTATTAAGTTGTATTATAATTAAACCCTATATTTGTATATTGTTCTTTGGATAATAAATATTTAATTGCTTGACTTAAATTTCATTTTTTCAATTTTTATTTGAAGCACCATCCATATGATCCTGTACATAAATTAAGATCTACACTGACCATTGTATAATAAACAGTACAAGGTGTTGGTTATTACCTTTAAAGCCCTAAATGGCTTGGGCCCAAGCTATCTCAGGGAACACCTCCTTCCATATAATCCTCCCCGCGCTCTCCGGTCCTCTGGGAGGAATTTGCTGCAGCCTCAAAAATCTAGGCTGGCGGCGACCTCCAAGAGGACCTTTTCTATCGTCGCCCCCAAGCTCTGGAACAGCCTGCCAGATGAGATCTGTCAGCTGACATCTTTAGACAGCTTCAAGAAAGCTGTCAAGACGGATCTCTTCCGGCAGGCTTTTCCAGATTAACTATCCTGGCCTTGGGCTCTTTTGATCCCTGCGCTCCCCCTGTGGCCCCAT